AAGTATAGGAAGTTATATGATTTAGGTATGCTTCTTTTGGTTAAGGAAATTTTTGTATTATTTTTTTACATTTGCTTTGAAATATGTACAAAACAAATTCAAAAAGACACATTTTTGCCTTTGGCATCTTCCTAAAAAGTATCAGAGGTCTTTGATCTGATAGCAAATTTTTTGAAAATAAATTTCTGGCCTAATTAGATCAGCATTGCCTGACTCCGGCAGTTTAACGGGTGTACGGAATTTTCGTCTCTGGAAATTTCGTCTCCAAGACTTTTCGGAACTTTCGTCTCCAACGTTTTCGGAATTTTCGTCTCCAGCGGAATATTCGTCTCCACGGAAGAAAACGGAATATTCGTCTCCGCAATTTTCGTCTCCGCTAGGAATTTTCGTCTCCAGAGTAAAATTACCCGTTGACGGACCAGAGGAAAAATGATGTGTTCCGGCAACAAGGAAAGTTGTCCAGTTAACGAGGAATGTTGTTCCGTCAACGGGGGATGTTGTCCCGTTAACGGGGAATGTTGTCCCGTTAACGGGGAATGTTGTTCCATCAACGGGGGATGTTGTTCCGTTAACGGGGATGTTGTTCCGTCAACGGGGGATGTTGTCCCGTTAACGGGGAATGTTGTCCCGTTAACGGGGAATGTTGTTCCATCAACGGGGGATGTTGTTCCGTTAACGGGGATGTTGTTCCGTCAACGGGGGATGTTGTTCCGTTAACGGAGGATGTTGTTCCGTTAACGGGGGATGTTATTCCGTCAACGGGGGATGTTATTCCGTCAACAGGTAAATTTTCTCTGGAGACGAAAATTCCTAGCGGAGACGAAAATTGCGGAGACGAATATTCCGTTTATTTCATTGGAGACGAATATTCCGCTGGAGACGAAAATTCCGAAAATGTTGGAGACGAAAGTTCCGAAAAGTCTTGGAGACGAAATTTCCAGAGACGAAAATTCCGGCACCCGTTTAACGTGGAAAAGATGTCTATTAAAAAGCATAACTAAACCATATATTTAAATTCCCCCGATATTTTTAAAATAAAATTCACATAAGTCCTTCAATGTTTGGTGGTGTTATATATGGTAAATCTTTTGCATGTAGATGTTCAACTTGCTGGGGTTTATATTCGCCATGGATTTTTCTACTTCTCTTTCTCCATAAAATTGCAAAAATAAATGATCCAATTAAGAGAAGTATAATCTATAGTAAAAAATAATAAATCGGTGGTTTATTTTGTGAATATCTTTTTGAAAAGTTTTGCATTAAATTTTGGCCTTTGCGTTGTGTTTTGCGTTTTTTGATCTTTTGACTAAAATAACGCAAAAACAAAGTAATACACCTAATACATATAAGGGCAAAATATGGAAGAAATCTAGCGCTGTACACGTGGGAGCCCGAACCTAAATAAAAATATAAACTATTTGATTCCTCTCGCCGAGCTGAGTTCGAATATGTAACCCTTTTTTCTAGAAGAGAAAAACCCGCAGAAATACAGGCCCCTAAAAATTCGAAAATACAATAGCTCATTCGAAATAGCTCATCGAGCTGAGTCTAATGACACCAAAACCACCGTGATTGAGCAAGATTTTGGAAAATTATGACCCTTTGTTTCAACCCCTCGCATAAGTCCTCCGTGGAAAAGTTTTTGCCGCTGCGGAGGAAGCCGGGAATGTCGAGCGGAACGACGGGCGCCGCCTCGCTACGGTCACCATTGATCATAACTAGGGCTAGGAAAAACCTACAAGGTTTAGTCTACATATTATGTTAGTATCGGACACACCGCAAGTCAATACGTAGCAAAATTAATCGAGAAAATACAGTAATATAAATATTCTCCTTACTATTATGACGGCTGCAATAATCAAAACAGTCCACCAATGTCCTGAAGCATGAGCATTTGACATAGTCGAGGACATTAAGGAGGTGGAAGCTGTTGAGTTATTCTCCAAGGACGAAAGTTTTGTTGTAGAATTTAAAACTGCACGAGTTTGGCGATCTGTTGACGGCAAAAGGGGAGGGAGAGTATTACTATTGTTGTTTTCACTCATCTTTTTTAATCTCTTTTAATCAATGTTTTTTTTAATTTTTTAGAAAAATAGTGAAAAAAATATTAAAGCTATTGTACTTTCATCTAAAAATAATATTCGAAAAAAGGAAAAGAGAAATTTTATTTTTTTGTAAATATTTAAACTCAATTTTTACATGTTGACTCCCCAATGTTATTTAATTCTAGTAATCTATGGTAGAGAGCGAGCTGGGCCTGGACCAAGGCCTGGGTTTTTCCTGTACCCAGAGTCAAGGCCCAGGCATTTTTTGACCTTCCTGGGCCTGGGTTTTTCCTGGACTACAGGCCCAGGACACGGCCCAGGTCAATAAATCAAACCCGGAACCCAGGGAACAGGCACGGGCTTTTCGAAAATCTCGATCTCTAATCTTTGGCTAATTAGAGCTGTTTCGAAACAGAAAAATCTTCGAAAATTAGAAACAGCTCTGAAGGCTAGAGGGTCTCGTATAATTATTTTAACCTTATTCTTAAAGTACTATTTTTCTTTTTAAAAAATTATATTTTAGTGGGAACTCAGCAAATGTTTTTACTCGATTTCAAAATGAACTAAAGAATTTTTATTGTGAGAAAATTATTTAATAATTAAGAAATATTATTTAATAAATAATATATGGAAAATTAAATTTTCTTTTATTTATTTCAAAAACATCTTTAAAAAAAAGATTCCCTATTCATTTCATGTGATGTTATTTTTTTACAAAATTTTGTTTACTAAATTAGTCACCAAACATATTGTTAATTTTCCTTCTTTTAAATTAAAAAAAAAAAGGAAAAATATAAGAAGCCACAAAAGATGATAATTAAAAATAGTAGAGGATTAAAAGTCGAGAAAAGTCCACAAAAAAGGCTTTACTTTTATCTTTACTTTACCTTCTACAGTAAACAAGAATAATTAAGCAGTTTAAAATTTGTCAGAAATTGAGGATCTGGGGGAGGAATTTTTGGGAAGCGGTAAACGAAGGAGAAGAGGAACGGGGAATTTTAGAAAAAGTCTGAGGAAGAAATAACATTTTGATTTTCTGTTTTGCTTGATGAGTCACACATTATTTTTAAAAAATAAACTACTAAAAATACAATAACCACGTCATTATTTTCAAAACAAATTATATTTTAGGATCGCATCACTTTTTTAGTTTATTGACTGAGAAAATTCAATAAATAAATATTCTCTCTCCTTGAAAATGAGAGGAACCACTTATGTAAAGAAGAACATCAAAAGAAATGTGAATTTATGAGCGGCGTAAAAATTATGTGAAACAAGCCAGACGTTAAAAAAAGAAAATTTAAATTTGGATTTAATAAAATTATGACAGTAAAAGATTATTGTTGTGTCCGTACTTGCAGAAAGAACATAAATGAAAATAAATAACCCAGCAATGGGTTGGATGGTGGCACAGTCGGTTGTGCTTTCGGTTTGGGCTCTTTCCGTGATGGTTCTATTCCATCTCCCATCCACAATTTTTCCACAGCATGAACATGAACTCAATAATGGTGCCACGACCCGCCGGGCATAGCCCGAGGAACAAGCGAACCGTCAAATGCTGTGATGATCTGACATGCTTTAACTGTTTAGAGAAATAAGGAGAAGACCCTGTGAGTATAGCCTGAGCTGTGTGCGGGCAGAAATTAGAAGCGTAAGACTCTGTGTGAGCAGCCTGAAAAAGCGTAAGACTCTGTGTGAGCAGCTAGAGAGAAGCGTAAGACTCTGAGTGAGCAGCTAAAAAATGCCACAAATGGGTTTCTGTGTGTGCTCTCCCAAAAATCGAAAACAGTTGATAGTTATTGAGGACAAACAACAAGCGAGGACGCTTGGTTTCGCAAGGCGGAAGGAGTGTTGTGTCCGTACTTGCAGAAAGAACATAAATGAAAATAAATAACCCAACATCGGGTTGGATGGTGGCACAGTCGGTTGTGCTTCGGTCTGGGCTCATTCCATGATGGTTCAATTCCATCTCCCATCCACAATTTTTCTACAACATGAACATCGGACACTTCTCCATATTTTGATGTTTTACTTATTTTTAAATAAATGTTGTTTTCCTTATTTCCCTAAAACCATAATTTAAATACTCCTTATCAATTTGTTTTAATCTTTCCTTTTTCCGATTGTAAACCCTTTAAATATTTCTTTATGTAATTTAAAATGTTCCCCTCAAACATATATGTTTCCCTTTATCTAAACATTTCCAATTCAAAACATTCCCCCAAAACATTCCTTATCTAAACATTCAACTTTAAATAAACCTTTACAACTGTCTGCCCATTTCTATATTCAACTCCCGCCTTTTCTGATACATATAAATACTTGTTTGTCGTTTACCTTTCAAGCTCGTCTTGATCAAACTTGCTCCCAAAACCTAACCCCAATTAAATAAACTTTATTAAACTTGTACAATTATTGTTTGAGTGTGTTAGATTTATTATACGTTATTCTGAACTGAACTTATATATTTGTTGAAATAAATTTGTTATTGAAAACTTAGTAAATTAATAAGTAAATCCTCATAGAATTGAGAGTAGAAATTTGGAATAAATAAATATCCAAATTAATCTAGTTTAAGGACACTACATTTTGGCGCGGTCGACGAAAGACCAGAAATAAAATATTTTTAATCACTAGTGTTGTGAATAGTGATATAATTTAGTCACTCGTGTTGTGAAGGGTGCTATAACTTAGATTGGCTTTGGATTACAAAGGCCAGAAATCTTTTAAACACTCGTGTTGTGAAGAGTGATATTTTAATATTTGGCTGTTTTTGTAAGCCTACAATTTTTTACACTTGTGTTGTGAAAAGTGTATTTATCTGCTCAGTGTTGTGAAGAGCATAACAAAAGCTGTGTTGTGAAAGCTTTATAAAATAAATAATAATTTATTGTTGAAAAAAGCTGTGTAGTGAAAGCTTTGAAATTAAATAATAATTTGTTGTTGAAACAAAAAATGTCTGATTTTGATCCTAAATATTTTTCTCGAGAAGAAATTAAACAATTTGGGACTATTTTAGAACGTTTAAGGGAATTCGAAAAATCTGTAGCACAAACCCTCAGAAAAATGGAATCTAAAATTGAGGAGATTGATAAAGCTGAAATAAAAAATAAAAATAGTATAACTGCTACAAAAGGAAATATCACAAAATTAGGAAATAAAATCATGGGGAGAATTGTCGAAATAGAAAGAGTATTAAAAATTGATGAAAATTTAGACGATTCTAACAGTGGTGATGAATTCCAGGAGACAAACGATGAGCCAGAAGTAAGGATCTCTGATCCCTTTTTAAATAATGGTGTATATGTCGGTAATTTTGATGGTAACCCAACCATTTGTTTTTCAAAATGGGTTGAGAAGTTTAAGGACGTGTTGTCTTTGGTAACTACAGAGTTAACCGAACAACAAAAAATACTCCGCCTTCGATTCTGTCTTTCAGGACAAGCTAGAATTGCGTTAGACACTATGTTACCCCAACCAGCAAGTTTGGAGATAGCTATAAACCATTTGAAAGCTAAATTTGAAAATGGAAATTCTAAAATAATAGCTCGACAAAAATTAAGCTCATGCCGCCAGGCACCTGGTGAGAGTGTGTTTGATTTTGCAAACAGACTTTCCGATTTAGTAAGGACTGCTTTAGTAGGAGAACCTGAAAATAGTATAAAGAATACCCTACTTTATGAATTCTTAGATAAATTAAGCCCTGATCTAAAATTCCAGGTCAAATCACAGAGACCAATGGAATACACAAATGCCTACGAATTAGCACTACATTTTGAACTTTTGCTCGCTGAAAAGAAACCTACATCAAGCATAAATGTCTCAAAATTGGCTGATGAAGTAGAGTCTCTCGTTTTGCAGAGAAATAATACTAAAACTTGTTTTATCTGCAAAAGTCCAAATCATCTAGCAAATGCCTGCCCGCAAAACTATTACAAAAGAGAGAACTCATTTAGCTCCAAATTTAATTATGGAAGAGGAAATAATAATTATAATAAAAACAGAAATAATAATTATAATAATTATGGTAATCATCGCAATTTTAGTAGAAACAATGATAATAGAAGCTATAATAATAGGAATAAATATAATCAAAATTACAGATCACAAAATAGCAACTATACTAATAATTATTACAGTAGTTCACCAAAACATGGAAGAAACTTTAGAGATAATTATAGGGATAGTCGCTCCTCAAGTAGAGAAAGAAACTATAATAATATTTCTGTTGCGAATCTAACAGAAAAAGTAGAAGCATTAACTATTCAAAGTAATAATCAGAATAATAAAGGGAAGAAAATTATCTGCTTTAATTGCAAGAAAGCAGGTCACGTTGCTAGAAACTGCTTTTTCCTAAAAAATGAGTATAATTATAGATATTACCGACACCAGCATTTTGGGAGGTTTGAAAATCGCCCTTGGCAGAATAGTCAAAATTTTAGTAAAAATTATAATAATTATAACGAGAATAGACCTTATGGATATGAAGGTTATCAAAGGAATAATAGGTCAAACAATAGAGGCAGAAACTATCCTAATTACGATGGCTCAAGTAGCCGCTCAAGTAGTATTGAGCGAAAGGACATGTCAAGAGACAAAAGATCAACTACTTACAGTAACAGATCGCCAATGCGAAGATCGAGTTTTGAGAGAAATCGAAGTTCAAGAATAGGAAGCGTGAGCCCATTTATGATTGTTGTTCTCGCATTATTCTGTTTAATTGGATCATCTTTTAGTGTCCCATTGAGTTGCTTTAATAACGCACCCATTTCAATATGGAGATTACCAAATGATCCGATATGCCCTAAATTTACTATAGGAGATGATATTAATATATTGAAAAATAAAACTACTGCTTTTGAAAATGAATTTGTAAAAACAGATGTTAGTAAATGCAGAGGCTTTTCTGACAACTATATACAGAGAGACGAGACATTAAACCAATTTAGTATATTAGTCTTTAGCTGTTTTGTTACAGTTTTGTTCTTTTTAAAATTTATTTTACCCTCGATTTTAGAAGGCCCAATGAATTATTTCAATATTGGAGAAGAAATATTTAGTAGAATAAAGAGTTATAGAAAGAAAAATAAAAGAATGAAACGTACTAAACAAATTAAAAACAAAATTGAATTAAATGAAAGTAAGTTAAAAGAGAATAAAATTTCACTTTCTAAAAGATGGCCCTCTAGGAATAAAATTGTAAGAGGAGATTTAGATAAAAATAGACAAAATAATATTAGAATTTGCGTTGCGGAAAATACCCAGTGTGACAAAAATTCCAGAATATTAACTAAAATTAACGGAAAAACAACCATATGTTTACTAGACACTGGAGCGCACACATCAATTATTAGCTATTCAAATGCCAAGAAAATTGGTTTAAATGATATGTCCGCTGCGAATTTTCCAGCAGTCTACGGAATTGGCAATAAATTAGTACCGACTCTAGGTCAAGCTACAGTCGAGTTAGAAATAGCAGATTGCAAAATTCAAACAAATTTTATAATTATTAAAGATACTGAGAAAAAGAATCAAACATATAGCGCCATTATTGGTAGAGAAACATTAAGCTGCTTACCCCTTATGTTAAATTTTACAAACTGGGAGCTTATAAAAATTCCGAATGAGTATAAATTAATTAGTGGCAGAGAATTAGACAAAATATCAAGAATGCTAGATGATCTAAAGATCATTAAGTTTGAAAAGGAGAATAGAATATGTAATTATTGCAAGAATAAAGGACACATTGCCAGTATCTGTTTTTACCGTAATCCGGATTACAATCCGAGAGGACATCGCATTCAAACTATAGTTGAAAGGGAAAGCGGAGCTTTTAGAATTGCGCATAAAGACCAACATAGGTTGAGAATTTCGCAGCTCCAGTCCAGTCGGGAATGACTGAGATTTTAAAAATAGAAATTCCCTAAATAATATTTTTTTTATTTATCAACATTTGTTCAAATATTTAGTTTTTGTTTGTTATCATTCCGTATTTTTATGCCCCCTAATATTAATTTATATTTTGTAATTTTTCTTTGTAATTGTAATTTATTTAAATGGCGAATGATGAGATTTGGATTTACAACAAAAAAAAAAGATAAACAACAAACAACAACGCCCACAAAATGAAAGAAGAATAGTTCAAAATTCTAAAAATTGACTTCTCATAGCTTCATCAAAATACTACCTCCTTTTCAGGAGAGATCAAAAAAAAAAAGTTCATACAATATGTGAAACGGTTAAAAGAACTATAGGTTTATTAAAATCCCGCGAATTTTGCGGAGAAGGAAATAATAAAGGTTGGTTGAATCCAACAAAATCAACCGTGAGGAAATAATAATCGAGGAAAGGGATGCCGCGGGCATGTACAACCTAGACGCCTGCGTGATCCTCACTTACTTTACCTCTTAAGTCAAATGATCGTGAGAGAGGCCATGAAATGGCTTGTTACCGTTTCCGCTTATATTACCCACGTGGCCATGGAGACTACAACAACAACCAGTATAACAACAATTTCCGTGGATGCAATACTGCCGTTGATCTTCTTAAAGGATGGAGGAGTGTTGGATCCATATTTTGATGTTTTACTTATTTTTAAATAAATGTTGTTTTCCTTATTTCCCTAAAACCATAATTTAAATACTCCTTATCAATTTGTTTTAATCTTTCCTTTTTCCGATTGTAAACCCTTTAAATATTTCTTTATGTAATTTAAAATGTTCCCCTCAAACATATATGTTTCCCTTTATCTAAACATTTCCAATTCAAAACATTCCCCCAAAACATTCCTTATCTAAACATTCAACTTTAAATAAACCTTTACAACTGTCTGCCCATTTCTATATTCAACTCCCGCCTTTTCTGATACATATAAATACTTGTTTGTCGTTTACCTTTCAAGCTCGTCTTGATCAAACTTGCTCCCAAAACCTAACCCCAATTAAATAAACTTTATTAAACTTGTACAATTATTGTTTGAGTGTGTTAGATTTATTATACGTTATTCTGAACTGAACTTATATATTTGTTGAAATAAATTTGTTATTGAAAACTTAGTAAATTAATAAGTAAATCCTCATAGAATTGAGAGTAGAAATTTGGAATAAATAAATATCCAAATTAATCTAGTTTAAGGACACTACAATTATTGTTAAAATATCTTGCGGACAGTTATTTGTTCTATTAATCACCAAAAAGATTTGGAAAAATGAGAAGAAATATTAAACGTTAATGCCGTACGGGAGCAGGCCAAGATATCGCAAACCCAAGGTATAGCGGAGCTATAACTTCCTTCAGAATTGTCGAATCCGGGACGCCCCGGTATGATTCGATTCAGCTCGTAGAGGCGCATCGAACCGCACAAGGGCGCCCCGGATTCGATTATTCTGAACAAAGTTAAAGCTCTGCGGTACCTTGGGCTTGTGATCCCTTGGGATGTACCCGAATACTTTAGGATAACTATGCTTAAAATTTAAATTTTTGGCATTGATCAAAAAAATTTTTCAGAAAAACTACCTAGAATTAAAAGACTACCTAATTCCCTTCAAAAAGCAAAAATGATGAAGAAAAGAGGATTATAGGAAAAAAGATGAGCGATTTGTTTGTATATATTTTTCAAAAAACTGTGGGGGGAATGACCGAGTTTTGAGTTTTGGTTCGTCGATTTTTATAACATAAATTTAAAAAAATCACAGCCAAACAATTTCTGTGGATTATAAAAATAAAATGTAAAAAATTTATGTAAAGAGTTGTGTAATTTTGAGAATAAAAATTGGGCAATAAAAAAAATAAAAAAGAAATGTTTTGGAAAAAAATTTTTTACTATTTTAAATATTTTTTATTATAGAAATAAACGAGAAAAAGAGAAAAACTGGGGGATTTATTTTATGAAATAGAAATTATGAAATTTAAGAAAAACATGTTTAGAAGATGGAAAGCAACAAGAAATGTTCCAAAAATAAAATTTTTTATAGAGAAATCCTGTTTAATTCCGGAGATATTTAAATATAAATTAAAGACACACTCTCTAATATAAGCACACCCTACGAGAGGATCGAATGATAGAAGCACATGTGCTTCAATTAAAGAATTTGCATACCGTATTTTCTCGATTAATTCCACTGGGAATTATTTTTTCAACCCTTCGTTGGCATGGGGAATTATTCGAGGGAGGGGAATTAATATGAGAAAACACGGTATTTAAATATAAATAAAATTAACGGAAAACTTATTTCTGAAGAACGAGAAATATAGTTTCAGAAAATTCAAACAAGAAAATAATTAAAGGAAGTATATATTTTATAAAAGTTCTCACATTGAACACAACAGTTAAATTTAATTTTCCATGGTGATACTTATAAAATTAAATTATATTTAGTTAAAAAATGTAGAAAAGGCAATAAAATTGGTGGCTCTAATTGTGTTATACGGAAAATAAAAAAAACTTGTT